GGAATAATAAGGGTATATAAGGATAATAAGGATAAATTCCACTTTTAACTTTATATTCAGAATTCAAATAAGGAACTTATTTGAATTCTAAATGTAAAATTAAAAAAGAAATTCTGAAAACAGTAATAAATTAAAAATAAACAACCTAAATTTTTTAGAAGCTTTCTCTGGATTGGACTCTGGATTGTTTATCAAAACTGTAAGTTTGGTTATAGGCTCCAATCTAGCTATTCAATAGACTATTGTGATTACAGATTAGCCTTCTTTAAACTGTTTTTTTTTTTAAAAAAAAACAGTTTATAGAAGTTTAAAAAAAAACAGTATATAAAAATTGTATCAACTTTAAAAGGTTCAAATGTGACCAAAAATGGAATTATGTAAGAACTTATATCTTTCATATGTTTTAGTACATTTTTGAATTAATTAGGCCTACCTCCTTTTATTGTTAACATAACCACAAATATTTTGTATTTTAATACTTTTATTTATAAAAAGAAAAAGTTATTGATCTATCACTTATTTCTTTGTTTTGATACTGCCAAGAATATCTTGAAATTTTTAAATATTAGAAGTATAGAAGTAACAAATCTTGAAAAAATATCATTAGCAGTTTTCAAGTTTAAATCAGAAAATAAACTTTTATTTTTAAACATCTTCCTAAACAAATTCTCTAGAACTTGTTCCAGAAGATGTTTGGCTAGAAGTAGGGATAGAACAATTAACAGAAGGTAGCCAATCATCAACATTCATTATGCGAGATTGACTTTTGTTTTAACTATCTGTATTTCAAACAAGGCTGAAAACATCCACTTTTCGAGTTGGTAGTCACTGGAAGACCGAAGATGAAGATTATAACGATTAATAGGCGATTAAAAAGATTGAAAATAATACATTTATTAACTTTGCAATGACTTGTATATAAGGTCATGACTTGAATGATGGGTTAGTACAAAAATATAATCAGAGACAATGTAAAGTAGAAGACACAGTATAAATGTTGCCATTCATCAATTTATGAATGTCAACAAGATTGCAAAGACTTTTTAAAGACTTGGCCAGATACACCATATCATCCGAAGCAATAAAATGTGCCTCATCGCCTCTCTCTAATTATAACTTCAAACCTTTCTGTAACGACAGTCAACAGGTCAGCTCCAAATCGAGACGATTTAAATCCATATGTTTCTTATGTCATCAACAAATAGAGCCATCTGTAAGCTTTTCAGGATGATTATTATTGTTGCTTTTTACCTTTAAGCTTTTCAGGATGATCATTAATGTTGGTTAGAAAGGGTAAAGGGCTGAGGATAGAAGTCAACCTTGTTAGCTAAGTATTGACACTTGTGTGAATTTGTAGCGTTTAGTGCCACAGGGTCTGTATGTTTTGCGATTGTAATGTTATTGTTGTGATGTTTTGTGTTGATAGACGACTTGGCTTACCTTCTGGCTGGTGTCTTACGTTAAAAATGATTATTAGGTTGTTTTGTTAATGAAACTTTTTACTTCTCATTCACTTTCTACTAATCATTCACTAAAAGCCAAGAGACTTTTTATTTTAATGTTGTTGTATTTTTGTTGTTGTTTTATTTATCTTAGGTGTTGTCAATAGTTCAGATAAACATTTTCAAAGAGCAAGTTTCTCATTTTTTATTTATTTAGTTTTAGTTGTTAATTAATAATTTTTTTTTAATTTTTGATTTTTAAAACGAATCAACATATACATTTTAAAAACCATTGTGTATCTGTTTTTAATAATGGTTTTATTACATTTTTAGGTAGAGTTTTTGCTGTTACACCTACTATTGATGATGTAAGTACTAAAAATTTCATGAAGCTCTATTGCTGTACGTTATTTTTATTTAAATTTAAATTATAACTTTATTTATTATCTTCTGTCTGTTAAATAGGTAATTCTGAATGATTCAGATAGATTTCAAGGTCCTTGCGCAGTAATTTACTGTTTGTTCTGTAAATTAAGCAATAGTTTTAAACAGGTAAATTAATTGGACTTTACGATCCTTTATGCATATTTGTATGGAGTTTTTATAATATAACTCGAAATTTTATTCTCCAAGACTAGCTAAATAAGTAAGAACACTTTAGTCTGTAAAGTTAACGTTTCTAAATGATCCGGACAAATGTAAAAAAATTTATGGTACTTAATTTTTTTACAGTTTGTATCTCTATCAAAAATTTCAAGTCAAACAAAGCAAAATCAACGATTCTTGTTTTATAAAAAAAGTGTTAAAACAAGAATAAAATGAATTCTCCGCCACGTAAGAATATTTTTTCTTGTTTTAAGAATTTTTTGGCCTAAAATAAGAATTGTTTTAAGAATTTTTTTTTTTAAATATATATTATTTTTTGTTTCAAGAATTTTTATTCTTGTTTTAAGAATTTTAATTCTTAAAATAAGAATTTTTTTTCTTAAATATATTTTATTTCTTGTTTCAAGAATTTTTATTTTTGTTTTAAGATTTTTAATTCTTAAAATAAGAACTTTTTTTCTTAAATATATTTTAATTCTTGTTTCAAGAATTTTTATTCTTATAATAAGAATTTTTTTTTTTTAAGAATTTTAATTCTTAAAATAACAATTTTTTTTTTTTGTTTCAAGAATTTATATTCTTAAAATAAGAATTCTTTTTCTTGTTTCAAGAATTTATATTCTAATAAAGAGCTTTTTTTCTTGTTTCGATAATATTTTTGCTCAAATTAAGATTTTTGTTTTTAGATTTTTTTTTAATAAAGAACTTTTTCCTTGTTTCAAGGATATTTTTGCTTATAATAAGATTCTATTTTCTTGTTTCAATAACTCCCTGAACTAAAAAACAATACAAGAAGAGTACTTTTTCCATGAAAAAAATGAAACGTTATTTTGAAATTAGAATAATATAAAACAAGTATATTCAAAAAATATTTATACATTTAAACAACTCTCATTGTTAAAATAACACTTGTTGTTCTTCGAATGTCCAGTTATTGGCCGTGCTTGTATAGGCAATACTCCTCCCATAGGCTACTCATCTGATTCAAGCAAGTTTTTGTCGAACTTTCGTCTTTGAATAAAATATAATGAAAGAGTGTATATGCTATCATGGCATGGGCGTCATATTCCATATCCATGACATAGTGTATTCCGATAAGACCTATCACGGCGTCAGTAAATGAAAAACTGCGTAAGATTGTCTTTTCGCCACACATAACGATCGCCTCAACTCCATCGTCTATTATATACAGATAAGGACTTTTTATCTGAAAATAAATTTAACAAACTCAAATCTAAGTTCAATTTAATGTTTCCTAAAACTTAACAATAATATCTTTTCATATCTAAAAATTAGGAATCTTTACTTTTATATATATATATATATATATATATATATATATATATATATATATATATATATATATATATATATATATATATATATATATATATATATATATATATATATATATATATATATATATATATATATATATATATATATATATATATATATATATATGTATATATATATATATATATATATATATATATATATATATATATATATATATATATATATATATATATATATATATATATATATATATATATATATATATGTATATATATATATATATATATGTATATATATATATTCAAGTGTTTTCAAAAGATTATACTAACTTACAGCTTTATCCAAAACAATATGCTTAATTGTTATTTTAGTTTGTTAAATGATTTCAATACATTATTGTATTAAACCCTAATCAATCAAATTTCATAAAGTGCTTGAGGTTGGCGAATTTTTGCTGACCTTCTTTTTAACTTTTATGGTAAAACCTTTGTAAAAATGGCTTTATGCTTGCTAATTGTAATCTGATGCTGACCTAAAGCAGTTTAAGGTCGGTAATTTATTGCCCACTTTAGTTTTCCTAATTCAAAAGGTTGTGTATGCATGCACACTCACCTATATTTGCTTTGGGCGGCGGTGGTAGAGGAACTACTAACTTGTGTATTCCGTAAAATAAAAGCATGTCAATTTCTTCAGCTAAGCTGACTCTCGCTGAGTCAACTGTGACAGCAGACTTTATTAAACGAGCTACTTCGCCGACAAGCTGAATTAAATAATATTAATTAAATTAAAAAAATAAAAGCATACAAACAATTTTAAAAAGCACAGAAAATTTATAGAATAATCCATTAGAACATGGCAGTTTGAAAAAAATATCTATTTGCTTAAAAAAGGATTTTAAATTTTGAAAGAATATTGCATTTTTCCCAATAAAAAATGAAATTACAAATGAAAAAAAAAACCTTACCACAGTCACATTAGAGAAACATGGATATTTCTCAAAAACTGTTGTAATTCTAGCAATTCTGTCAACTGGACATTTATTTACCCAAGTCTTTCTTTGAGTAAATGTAGCATCCAGGCATGATGCAACTACATTCATGTCAATATTTTTTTTACACCATTCTTGTTACATTCAAGTACAACATCAAGATGTAAAAAAGGTTTAAAATAAATAATAGAAACCTAATTTATGGTAATAATGTAACAGATTAAAAATAAACAATAAAGCCTATTATATAATAAAATTTGAATAATTGTAAATAATAAAAATACTATATTATAAACTGTTATTAAATTTGCAAAATTTTAAAATTAGTAAAAATCCAGTCAGGAAAAAATTAAACAATATTGAAATTATCTTATTCCAGACATCTGTATTCATAGCAAGCATAGAAGTATGATTTTTTGAATTTAATTTTTAGAAAATATAATATTTTTCACTATAATGTAAAAATAATATATTTTCTAAGAATTGAAAAAAGAAAAAAAATCACTCCAGGATAAAAAACATCTGTTTTTTTTATCCTGGGGTTATTTATAAGAATTAAATCCATATCCGACTGTGATCTGAGTTAAAATTAACAGTGTGTATAAAAAAGTAAACTTTATTGTATCCTAAACAAATATAACATAAACATATGGGCAATAACTTACCTGACAACAATGAAAATGTGGATGGTTTGTCAATAGGAGTTCCATTACATGGCTCTACAATCAATAAAAATCATAGGTTTTATAAAAATAAGGTAAGGTATTATTAATAGGATAAAAAAACTCTATATGTTAACTATGCAACATGAACTTACTTTTGACAGGTGGTGATGAACTTAATTCACTCACACTCTGACCTGAATTATTAAAGTAAATATTTTTAAAACCTAGATTTTAAGTAGCGCATTTCTCAGATAGGAATTATAAATTTAGGAATGTTTAAATAAAATGGAGCACCTAAGGGTCCTTAGCCAATCTTATTGATGGCATTGCGGAAAAAATACCTAGTCCTGATCTGTATAAATTATGGTGTAAAACTAGGCGGTGTAACTTTGGAGAGCATCTAGTTGTAAATATTAAGTAAGGTATTATTAAATAATATAAAAATGTATGCGAACGTGATTTACATTTTGCAAGATCAAAACTGATTTCTTCCCTTCTTTAAATTGAATTAAAAGTATTATTAAATAGAATCAATTATTATGTTCTGTAAATAATTCACTAAAAAAAATTTAAAAAAGATTACATGTTTTGATGTCTTGTCATTCATGCAAGGGTATTTAATAACTAAAGACTTTGACATTTATAAAAGGTCTTGTCTTGTTGGATACTGATTCCTCAATGAGGCATGTGCATTCATTATTGTGATTGTTCCTCTGACCATCCGGTTATATAGCTCACTACTTATAAAGTTTTTTGCAGCAGCATTTGCAAATTCCAGATCATGATGTATTGGATATGATGATCCAATGTATTGTGACTGCTCTAGCTGTAAAATTTTATTTGTAGTAATATAAATCAAGCTGTTATTTTAATTGGACACTTAAATACTTCGATTAAACATTGACAAAGTTAAATATTAACTTAAAAATATTTCCAAACACCAAATGCTTCCAAAAAAAAAAAAAAAAATCACTTTTGAGAAAAATGCTTAAGAAAAAAAAAATTAAATTAAGAAAAAAAAATAATATGAATTAAAAAATTAATATTTTTTACATATTTAAAATATATTAAACTTTATTCTTGTCAAGTATAGCATTATATTCATGTCAATATCATTATTATTGTCATCAACAACATCTTTAATAAGTCTTTTTGATGTTACGCCATTAGTTCTAATAAAAGCATTTTTAAAGCATAACAGTATCACAAATATTAGTAACAGATATTTAAAAAATACATTGTTACTGTTTCTCAAGGGTAAAAACAGTAACAGCGCATCCCTTAGGATACAATGTTAGGTGAATATCATTTACCTCATTCCTACATCAACACTTTGAGAACAAGTCTGATTATTGTCCTGATATATGTCTTTTTTAGACAATACAACATCAATTAACTGAAAAAAAATAAATATATATAAATAAAAATATTCTTATAGAAATGTAAATTTCAAATTAATGTGTCAAAGCAAATTAATTCTAAAAAAAATCTTAAAAATTTTTACTGAAGTATCAGATGTTAAATTCTCATAAAAATCAGCGTCTGATATGTTTAACTAAAGTAAAAAAAAAATACTTAAATCTTTCATGTTTTTTTTTTTTGTTTTTTTTATTAGGTATTTATTCAACATTCAACCTATTGAAGCTTCTTAATACAAAACACAGATTGGGAAAATGTCATTCATGAATAATTTAATTTGCAAAATACACTGCATGTTGCTAATTAACACATGTATATGTACCTCATGCATAGCCTTTTTTAACTCGGTTTCAATAAGCTTCCATAACTTTGCCCTTATAAGTATTTGAGTTTTTAAAGGAAAAAGTTCACTTAAGGTTTTGTAAATAATCTCCGAAAAATCACGATCATCTACAACTCCTGCATTTAAAAAAAAACGAATGTTTATAAAAAGTAATAAAATAATATCAATGATAAAAAAACAACATTATTTGTTTATTTTAAAACAGCAGAATGACCCAAAAGCCACTAATACTTAAGTATACATCAGAGAATTTTCTACTGCAATATTCCAATTGTATTAAGTGTTAGAACAAGTTTGAACAAAATTCTATCAAGTAGAACATAGTATGAGATGTTTTTTAAACATCGAGATAAATGGTGCAGATTTTGCAGTAAATTATTCTACGAATTAACAATCAACAAAAGAAATACTTGGTACTGTTAAAATTACAATGGAGCTTTTATAGTTTAAAGTTATGACCACGATTACCTAAGTAACAATTAAGAATAAAAATGATAGGACAGTGTCCAGTTTATCATTAAGAACATTTTAACCTAAAACTAAATCCTTAAACCTTTAATGATATTCTGTGTATTGAGCTTTAGTATGGTTATGTATTCCCTGGTTTTCTAAATTTTAAAAACTTATTCATTTGGGTGTTGTTATTGCAGGGTTTGATCCCTGCACTAGAAATCAAAACAATGAGCATGTTCTAGTTTTTTTAACGGAAAAAAATGTTTACTTACATTTATCAATTCGCTTACCTCTAAAATGACTAATTTATCCTGGAAATTTATCACGAACCTTATTAAAGATTGTTTTCATCCTATTAACAATTAACAACAAGACCAAACAAGTTAACAACGAGCATGTATTTATGAAAGACGCGATATTTTTTTTTTAATTGTTTTCTTAATTGTTTTTTTTTTTTTTTAACGTTTAATCACGTGTTGCTTAATCATATACACTGAAACATCGTTAAATAAAAATGGAATATTTCAACACGGTAAATAGAGTAAATTATTAGAAGTACTTCGTGCAAAGAAAATAGATGAATAGATAATTTTTTTTAAAAAAAAAGGAAAATTCTGGCACTTGGTAAAAAATGGTTGATTGAGCAACTTTTATGTTATGTTTAAGTGTAATTGCTGCGATGTATTTGTCTCTCTCAATTTGAAAACAGTACTTAGTCATGTTTATCAAGTTCATAGCTTGAGTTTGGATTTTAAATGTGAATGTATTGTTGATGGATGTTGAATATCTTTTGTCAACTACAACTCTTTGTACAAACATACAATTCGACATCATAAAAATGATTATGGAAAATACAATGTGTTTCAAGAAAAGCACTCTTCAAAAACTTATTCCAACAAAAATATCGAATCTCAAGTACAAAATCATTTTGATAATTACGAAGATAGAGATACACCAGAATGTTATAATGTAGTTGATATTGAATATGAGGAAGAAATATTAGACAATGATGTGGTGGAGGTAAGTTTTATAAAAATGTCTAAGTTAAACATTTAGATTTATTTATAGATTTAAATACATTAAATTTCTTTAATTACTAGGAAACACCGGATCCTGTATTAGGTGTTGAATTTGATACGGAAATAATAGAAAGTCATGTAGTGGAGGTAAGTTTGAATAAAATGTGCTATTTAAACTTCTATATACATTTAAATACATTAAATATTTTTATATATTAAGAAAATAAAATTGAAAATTATATTGATACATCTAATGATATTTATACATCTTTGATCTGCAAAAGAGTTGCAGCATCTTTTATTCTGACTGTTAAGGAAGAAAATAAGTTAACTCAGGTATGTTTATTGTAGGAAATTGCAAATAAAATAAAAATTACAGTTTAAAGTTTTCAAATTTAAGAATGCAAAAAATTCCACTGAAAGGAGCAAAATCACCCTTATAATTCCAAATCCAGTAATTTTAAATGGTATAATGACTACATAGTCATTTTACTTTTTAACAAGTGACATATGTTAGTTTGACTGTTGATTATACTATTTTTTAGGTTGCAGTAGATTCAATTATAGAGAGCACAAAATACTTTATCAACAGAACTTTATCACATGTGCAAAAAAATTTAACCAGCAAAATTTTAAGATGTGGATCTAATCACCAGACAACAATTGATCAATGTTTTGAAAACATTAGTACACCATTTGAAGGACTTGAGACAGCAGCACTCCAACAAGCATACATTAAGAATAATTTTTCTTATGTTCAATTAAAAGAAATCGCTCTAGGAACAGTTTTGATGCGCAAAAAGATTGATGGAAAAAGTAAATTGTTTGAAAATAAGGAATGTTTTATATACATTCCTATATTGGAAAGCTTAAAGCAACTTATAAGCAATAAAATATCATGACGAAGTGGAGATTTGTAGTCCATTGGATAATAAAGCTGGTAAGCATAAACTTGACATGTATTACTATACACTTACTAATATTGATCCAAAGTATCGCTCAAAACGTTCTGCTGTTAGACTTGTTGCAATTGTCAAGGCTAATTTTGTGAAAAAATATGGAATTACTAAAATTATGCAACATTTAATATTAGACTTGAAGGAACTTTACATTGGTATTACATTAACCTATGGAACTGAAAAACTTTATTTATTTGGGAAAGTTGTTATTTGTGCTGGTGACACAATAGGTCAGCATCTGAGGGGAGGTTTTAAAGAAGAAGTTGGTTTGTCCTTACAAAAATGTCGTAGCTGTTACTGCAAATTTTCACAGATGCAAACTGATTTTTTAGAATCCTGTTTCACTTTGAGAACTAATGAGTCTTATGATATTGAATGCACTCAAATAGAAAGCGTCACAAGTGATGCAGGAAAAAAAAAGCCTAAAAAAGATTTATGGCTTAAACCAAAGAAGTCCTTTGAGTGAATTACCAGGCTTTGATGTGACTTCTCAGTTACCCCAAGATGTAATGCACACAATCTTGGAAGGATTACTCCAATATGAAATAAGATTGATACTTTTACATTTTATAGGCAGTAAACAGTTTACTTTGTGTGAGCTGAGTGAGATTATTACAAATGATAATTGTGGGTATAGTGAGATAAGTGATAAACCTGGGCCATTAAAAGAAACTGTATTTACAAACAAAGAAGCCTACGAGTTAAAGTGCTCAGCTTCACAGTCAAGAGTTTTTCTCAGATTACTGCCTTTCTTTTTATCTCAGCTTGTTGATATCAATGATGATTATTACAAATTTTTAATTGAGTTATTAGAAATAATTCAAATCATTTTCAGTCCAGTAATTCATGTCAACACAATTGATCTATCACTTGCTTATAGTGCAAGTTGGATAATCCTGCTAGGCACTAAATATTGTAAACGAGGTGTAATTGCTGTGTTAGTCAATTTAGATAATTTATTGCCAATTTTTTGAGCAATAAATGACATCTTTGTCATTTGTGATTTTGTTTACTTTAAAGTAACTATTCTTACCACTTTGCATTTTGAGCATAATCTCCAAGCATATTTAATTGCAGAAAAAGATGATGATATTGATAAATATTACATTTTCGCATACGAGTCGCTGGTTGAATACAATGTTTTCCATGTAGTTTGTGATCAAAATTGAAATTCTTATGTATCTGTTAAGTATAAGTTTGATGACCTCATAAACGAACATACTAAACAGCTTAATCCATTATTTACTATTTGAATTTTTACGTATTTGGTATGTTGGTTATTTCTATACAGAAATATTATTCTATTATGCAGCTTCTGTTTAAAATTTTTTTGTTATGAAAGTTATACTTTTGTTTGGTACTTAAAATTAAAGTGATTTTACAATTAAATGTTTCTTGTATGCGAGACATTGATCGTTTAAAAACACTAAAACAATTTTTTTAATAAGTAAATTAAATTATGAATGAATACGAAACAAGAAATATTGTTTTGAAATAGTTATACTTGTACTTTTTTGTGTTTTTAAACAGCCAATGCAAAAACTTTTTTTGTGGGTGTACTTAATTTTGTCCATGTATATACATGACTTGCATGTCTTGTATAAACATTAACAATAAGGCCTAGTAGGGGAGAGGGGGAGGGAGTGATTGATTATAGTTAACGGTGAACGGCAAAAAAAGGTTTAAGATGATTTTCAAAAACAATTATTAAAGGTGGCAATTTTTTAACTTGATTTATGATTTTAATGAACTGAGCTAAATCTTTAAAATTAACTTTATTAATACTTTTTATTCTCAATAACAAATTTATAAGCCCTACAATTAACAAAAAGATAATTGACAAAAAAGATACTCTCAGCAAAATCTACATCATCTACTGATGGGTTTCAGTTAAAAAAACGTGTATTTTTTATATGAATGCATTTGCCAAAAAAAATAATTTACAATGGTCGAATAAAAAATATGTTTTCATACAACTAGGGCTAGAAAAGAACAAACTTTGTCTTGATGCCAGGACTAAACGGTATCAGTGATGAATACAGTGGTGAAAGAATGTATTCCCTCTTCAAAATAAAATTAAGGTTTAAATTTTAGCAAAGTTTCTTCAAAGGCGTACCAAAGCAATATTGTAGAGTCTACATCAAGACATTCCTTGATCCGTCGCTAAGCAGTATATTGATATTTGTTTTATTCTTTTATTATAAAGAAATACATAATTTTTTAACACTTCAAGCCAAATCGCACTTTTGCATGTTTTCACTTATGCTTGCACGTTGCACTTGCACATATGTTAATTTGCAACTACTTTGCCCTTACAAAAGATTCACATTTATGCTGTTTAGATTTATAGTAGATTCGCAGGTATAAAAATCGCACTTATTAATTGCGAATTCTATAGAATTCTTGCAGCATACAAATCCTTCTAGTTGGTGTTTTAGTTTTAATGGCAATCAAATGAATTAGACTGTATGTTTACATAAAATCATGATTACAGGGTCTATCAAAGGGTGGGAGAGAAGGTATATAGTATATATATAATATATATATACTATAACAATATACATATATATATATATATATATATATATATATATATATATATATATATATACTATAACAATATCTATATCTATATATACTATATATATATATATATATATATATATATATATATATATATATATATATATATATATATATATATATATATATATATATATATATATATATATATATATATATATATATATATATCCTAAAATAAGAATCAAATTCTTTATATAAGAATCAAGTTCTTAAAATAAGAATCAAGTTCTTAAAATAAGAATCGAGTTCTTAAAATAAGAATCAAGTTCTTAAAATAAGAAACAAGTTCCTAAAATAAGAATCAGATTCTTAAAACAAAAATCAGGTTCTTAAAATAAGAATAAAAGTTCTTAAAATAAGAACAAAATTTCTTAACCTAGAATCTTGGATTTTGCTGTGAATGTAATAACAGTTGGAAATATGAAATATATATAAAGTCAAATCGCTCATTTGTGAAATCTTTTTGCAGTAATTTACTGACCGGTCTGTCAGTTGTGCAATAATTTCAAAATGATGTATTTTTCAGGTTCCATGATTCCTTTATGCCTATTTGCATATTGTAACTCTAATTTTTGTTCTTCATTTTATAACTAAATCAGTATAAAAATTCCAGTCTGTAAAATAAACGCTTCTGTGTGATTCCGATAGATTTAATAAAAAATGGTTCACTATTTCAAAATTCAAATCAAATGTAGTTACGATTCAAAAATATCAAACGTATTTAAAGTCAATTTGTCCAACTGGTCCCAACATCCCTTTTTCTGTAATTTGCAGACCGGTCTGTAACTTAATTTTTTTTTTTTTTTTGGTATGTATTTAGGTGCTCCCAGAAGTCCTTGCGGTCTTATCATAGAGCACCGCGGGTGAGCATTTAACAAGAAGTTTACGCCTCCTTCCGTACCAATTTCGCTTGTTGGGCTAGAGCTGGCATCGAACCTCTGAGTTCTGAGCCAGAACTCTAACCACTGCACCACGGCTGCTAACTTATACAATAGTTTCACTCAAAGGTTTGTAAATTATGCAATAGTTATCAAATGGTATTGTTTTTGGACTCCGTGATTTCTTTAAGGATGTTTGGATAGTGTAACCCTAATTTTTTTACTCATAGCACAATTAAATTAGTAGCAACCCATCAGCCTGTAAATTAAACGATTATAAATAATCTCTACAGTTTAATTAAAAACTGGATCACTATTTAAAAATTTAAGTCAAATGTAATAACGGTTCAAAAATATCACAAATTTAAAAAAAATTTCAAACTTTTTAAAATTGATATGTTCAGTTTGTTTGTACGGCCCATTTTTAGCAATTTACTGATCGATCTGTAATTTATGCGAATATTTCACTGACCGGTCTGTAAATTATGCAATAGTTTTCAAAACAATATTTTGGATTCCATGATTCCTTTAGACATATTTCATGATACAATTATAAAATGACTCCAAATTTTATTCTTCAATAAAAGGAAAATAATATAAAAACCTTTTTGCTGTTAATTTGATAATTCTGGACAATTGCAACAGATTTTTTTGAATAATATTTTGGTAATTTATTTATAGTTGTTTAATCACTATGAAAAATTTCAAGTTAAATATAATAACGATTCAAAAGTTATTAAAAAGTCAGTATGACCCCAAAAAAATATAAATTAGTAAAAACCCTCAGTCTGTAAAATAGACAATTCTGGTCATTCCCGACAGATTTCAAAAAAAAAATTTGGAATTTTGTTTTTTTATAGATAGTGGGTCAAAGTTTATTTAAAAGTCAATAATACTCTCATTTTTGGTGCTATAACATAGCAAATTTTCCATACTTAAACACTATACTTTTGTCAAAAAAACCATCAATTTTTCCACTACAAAAAGTTCAATAACTTTTGATCCGCCTAATTTCAAAGGCCAAATGAACCCTCATTATTTAAGTCAAGCAAAGCTCTATACAACGACATCAATTTTTTTTGAATATTTGAACATAAAAAAAAGTTGTCTTGAATGGCTACCTATGGTCCTCAAGTGAACAATGGGTCACATTTGTTTCAATTCATTATTTTCAAAAAAAGTATAATATAAAAAAAATAAATAAAATACTAATATTATTGTTATATTATAGTTGTAGCCGTAAAATATACATACCATATATACATACAGCGAGCAGGAAAAACACCCTACTATAAACAACCAGTTTTATAAATATTCCTTTCCAATTTTATCCTCAATCAGTGCTCTAATCTAATATTAAAAAAAAGTACAGTTGAGTATAAAGTTACTTGAACGGGTAGTTCATTCCAGTATTTTGTTGATCTATTATATAATTGGTTTTGTCTTGGAACACAGTTTGGAACATATTCACGTCTTATTTTAAAATAGTGGCC